ACTACTACTACTACTACTACTACGACGACGACGACGACGACGACGACGACGACGACGACGACTACTACTACTACTACTACTACTACTACGACTACTACTACTGCTACTACTGCTACGACTACTACTACTACTACTCCTACGACTACTACTACTACTACGACCACTACTACTACGACTACGACTACGACTATGACGACTACGCCGACGATGGCGACTACGACGACGACTACTATTACGACGATTCCTACTACGATTACGACTACGACTACGACTACGACTACTACTACTACTACCACTACTACTACTACTACTACTACTACTACTACTACTACTACTACTACTACGACGTACTACGACTACTATTACAACTACTACTACTACCACCACTACTACTATTACTACTACTACTACTACTACTACTACTACGACCCTCCTCCCCATCCCCCTCCTCCTCATTATCTTCTACATGTTCCTCCTCCTCCTCATCGTTCCTCCTTCTCCTCCTACTCCTTCTCCTCCTCCTTCTCATCCTCCTCCTCCTCTGTCCTCCATCCTCCTCCTCCTCCTCCTCTTCCTCCTCCCCCCCTCCTCCTCCTCCTCCTCCTCATTCTCCTCCTCCTCCACCTTCTCCACCTCCTCCTACTCCTCCTCCTCCTCCTCCTCCTCCTCCCCTCTCCTCCTCCTCCTCCTCCTCCTCCTCCTCCTCCTCTGGGAAAACCACTGCTTCCCACTGGCTGACCACATGATATGCAGAGACCTAAACATGCAAGGTTTTTTCTAGTGCCCCGCACTGCGAACAATCCCTGGTCCAAACGGCAGCGGAGGTAGAGCGCACATGAACAAGGCAACACACTGTCGGCAGTACACTGGTCTGTGGCTCACTCTGACAAAAACACTCCTCTAAAATCTCAACTGAGGAAAACAGCAACGAGAAGTGAAAAGACAGAAACACAGAGCCATGTCGTGCTAGGCAGAGCTGTCCACTCATACAGCACACCTCAGCAAAGCTACTGAAGGTTCACTGGCATGCCAGCGCCGCTCAAAACCTCGAAGATCCTGGTCAGTGCGTGCTCCATCTGAACCATTCTGGTCTCGAGTGCCTCAAGCCGGGCATCTATCTGAGTGAAATGGTCGGCCTCCTCGAGCCACAACACACGATTGTCCAGGTCGGTGGCAGCATCCTGAAACTGATCCATCACCTGCTTTAGGGCCGTGTCGTCCGGATCGGAGCTGGCCCTGGCACTGCCCTCGGGGTGCACATCACCGCTTTCGGTCTTTTCTACGAGGAACGCCAGCCATGCGGCTTGGTTATAGCCGCTGGACGGGCTCTGGTGAGCCAAACACCATGAGCAGTAACCCTGTTCTGTCTCCCAGACCGTCTCGAAACTCTTCCCCTTGTGCTTGCCGAAACCCAACATGGCGCAGGTAAAGGCTTCGCCTTTCACCTTGAGCCGAGCCTGGTGTAGGCGCTGAGCGAAATCCTCACCGGTAACGGCTGGGGTCTCTGGAGGCTCCTTCTTGACCATGGCGGCTAGGTGACTCTGCGCTGGCAAGGTACGAGTGTCTACCCACTCACGCGTCACACAACAAAGGGTACGGAGAAATATTGTGGTCTGAGCCTAAAACCAGGGTAGCAGGAGTCGGAGCACGCACGTGTTGGTAGTACACGTATGGCACATACACGCACGTATCCATGCATTGAAACCCGGTCCTCGTTCCCAAACGTCAGCACAATCATACAGGATCCCCAGGCATCCTCGTCGATTGTTCCTTTCTTTGGACCCCACGTGACCGTCGGTTCTCCCGTTCGCTAGCTTTTAATTCAAGCACATACTGTTCATCGGCAAGTTGGTACCTCTTGGCTCTCATGCAGGCTCGCAAGAGGTCTGCGGGGTCCCCTTTATCCTTAGTAAGGGCGTCAGCTAGTTGTCGGTTTGTCGGGCACCATCGGAAATTCGCACCACAGCGTTTGACCGAGTCTTTGATCACCACCACATCTGTAGCACATCGTTTGTCTTCGAGGCTGGAGGGGGAGGTGTTCGCTTTCACATGGTCATATAATGATTTGCAGTCCGTCACCACAATTGGTTCCCGCGTACACATACAGTCGTCAATATTCTTCACGTCGATGGGTCCGTCGAGGGCCTCATACAACAGCAAGGACATCCACTCCAGGGCAACACAACATATGGAGGCTGCCTGAGCCTCTCCCGACAGTGTACTGGGTACCAGTCGTTTGAGTCGAAACGAACGCCAGTTAAACGGGGTCCAGGGGGCCTCTTTGCCGAGAGACATGTCGGTAGACGTGAACGCCAGAACATGTCCAGCCTGGGTTTTGTTGTTTTTCGCATTTCCCCAGGCCGCATCAAGGTGTGCGATCATGGTCAGTTGTTTGGGTGGTATTGGCAGGTAAGTAATTGCCAAGTCCGCATATTGCTTGGCACGACGCACCATCGCAGCACTCTGAGCTAACTCACCCACAGTAGGCTGTGGAAAACAGCTCTGGCCGAAAGAGACCTGACAGGAAAGATCTGGTCGGGTCTCCTTGCACACCCATCCACCGTCTCCGAAACAGGAAGGTCCCTGGGCAATCTCGGTCGCGTTGGCCTTGGCTTTGGGGTCCCGCAGTCGTTGTCGGCTAAAACGAACTGGCCGCATTTTCTCCACGAACTTGGCCTGGTCCCCCTGGATGGTTTTGGTTTCGGGGTCCTGGGTGTAGTGGGTGCCACAGAATTCGCCAGCGTGGGTCTGCCATTTGCGAAACGGAAATCGTTCGCGCAGGAGTCGGATAGCCTCGTCATACAAGGCGCCATGCCCGCCCGTGATGCTGTCATCCACGTGGCAAGCCAGCACACCCACAAGACTACCGTGGTCTCGTAGGAAGTAGAGGCAGGGGTCAAATCGACTGGGGCAGAAGCCAAGTTGTCGTAAACAGCCATCGAATTCCTGAAACCATTCAAACGGTACATTCTTTTTCCTGTGCAGGTTTCCGGTAACTTCCAGAAGCTCCCCCTCAGGATGTCCTGGAACGCCCTTGGGTATTGTCGTGAAAAGCGGTTCCCGTCTCTTGATGTTCTTGGCTTCTGGAAAAGCACAGTGAACGTCACCGAATTGCAAATCCCACTGGTGGCTCGCCACCATCTGCAAGCATACCGCTCTCCCGAAAGGCGTAATAGTAGGACTCTGTAGCGTCCCCTCTCGAATCAGTTCAGATAGGTCGGGATCCAGATACCCCCTGAGGCACCAGCGGGCTTTGATACGGGTAGGTTGGCCCTCCTCCTCCTTCTCAGTCATCACAAACCGTCCTGGGATGAACCGGGAACTCCACTTGGTCCTCACCTCCTGCTCCTCTCTCTTGGGTACCACCCGTAGACATCCCTTCAGAATCAGATTGTCGACCTCCAGGGCACGGGCCGTCTCGCCTTTACGGATCAGCTCGCTGGAGGCGCCCTTGAAACTGAGTTCCTTCCGACCGCGTCGTGAGATGGCTCCAGCCAACAGTGTCGTAAAGGGTTGGCGCCATCCAGTAGTATTAGTAGCTTCTACTCGGGCAATGTGTTCGATTGCCGCCGTCGTGAGAGCAGCAACCTCAGGCCCCTCGGCCTGACACAGGAGAGCCTCACGCTCGAGGGACGGGCTTCGTGTAGCCTGTCGGAGCAGCGGCATTGTCTCAACAGCAATGTCCTCGGGCGCTATCAGGGGTAGGAGGTCGTCGTCGTGTGGTTCGTCGTCGAGCATCGTCGAGTCTCGTCCCTCGGTGGTCAGGGAAATGCGTGGGCCCTGTTGGGCCACGGGCTGCATGACCTCGTCGATAGGACGTTTCGTAGTCATACGTCGTCGTGGTTGTTGGACGGGCTGTGTTGGTCCTACTGCTGGAGTCGTTGAGGACCCGGTCGGAGGCTCAGGAGGCACTGGAGGTCCTGTCATAACGAGACCTTTGGGGTCGGGATCAGCACTCGGGGTTTCGGCTGTCTCGGTGGTAGTTTCGACCGGGGTCTCTGTAACGGGCCTACTGTCATGGAAGTCTGGAGGGGCCATGGGGAACTCCTGCTTGGTGAGGTCCAAGAAGTGTAGGTGACCCCCAACGGAGCTCAGTCGTTGTTTCTCATCCTGGAGCACTTGCTCCACGAGTTGGTCGGCTCGTACCTCGCTGGTCGAGGCCGGTCGGAGTTGGGAAGGGTCGGCCCGAATGAGGTGTCCCCGATGGGATAGCCACCAGCTTCGCCCCTGTCGACCGATAAGTATTCCGCGTCCATGCCATCTCGCATGGGCCTTCTTCCCCTTCCGCCAGTAGGCCACCTTGTCCCCGGGTTGGAAAGCGTGAGTAACTCGGTTTCGGGAAGAGACAGCACGACGGAGATCCTGATCGTCCCGGGCCTGGAGCAAGGCATGCATCGCCTGTTGGCGTATCTCGCGGGATCTGGCACAGGCGGTATCATACAATGGGCCAGTCGCGCTCACCATATCGACAGCGTCCTGAAGCAAATCTCCAGGGATTCGGGGTTCCTGGCCCAACACATGTTGATAAGGGGAATAGCCGTCCACCCGCAGCATACGCTGCTTGGCGTCAGTCGTCGCATCGACACACTCGGCCCACTCCGCATAATTCTGAGGTTGGACCGTTTCCAGTAGTTTCTTGAAAATCCGCTTCCACCATCCCCCGTGTGATTCAGTTTTTCCGTTTTGCCATTGTCCCTCCCCCGCTGCTGGCACAATCTCGGTCTGTTCGAGCTCCAGTGGGTCCGTAAGGGCGGCCCCAATATTGGCCTTCCCCGCATCCACCACAATACGCTCGGCTGGACCGGCCCAACGCTTCCAAAATTGTCGGTAGGCTTCCCGTATCGTCCCGGAGTTTTCTCCCTGCAACAGTGGTACCATCACCTGGAAGGACGACGCGTCGTCCACAATACTGAGTGCGGGAACCGTGTGTGTAGGTCCCTTCCAGCCTGGAATGTTTACCCCGTCGATTCCTACCTGTTTGTTGAACTCCAAAATCCGATGTCCCGAGACGGTCCCAGATGGTTTCGGCATCTTGTTTTCATCGCAGATATCACACCGGAAACTTCGTGCCAGCCGAATGGCTTCATCGTGTCCCCCGCCGTGTCGTAGGATCCGGACCATCTCCCGAGGGGCCGCGTGGCCCATGTTAACGTGTAACTTCCTGAGGGCATTTCGGATGTTCTGAGCATTTGCAATAGGGGAGGGAGAGTTGGGCTGGTCCTGTCCGGCCTCGGGATCCTCCAGGTCCGCGGCCAAGCAGCACCGAGACAGCTCGGCCTCTAGCAGCTGCAGACTCCCGCGTTGTGAGACCTCGCGTAGGCTGGCCTCCAGAGGCAGAAGTGACAGCTCCTGCTCAAAACTCAGAGGAGCGTCCACACGTGCGGCCCAGAACTGTGCGAAGTCGTCGGTGCCTCGCAAGATCGCTTCGCAAAAGTCCGTCGTATATAAACCTGCCCATTTACTCCTAGAAACACCGTTCGACTTCCCTTCGATGGTCACATGATCGTGGTTCCCGGGACACCGTTTACCCAGACACTGAGCCAGTCGTTGAGACGAAAACAGCAAGCGAGTTTGTTTCTTCATAAAGTTTGGGCCCCCGGGTTCTCGTAGACCGTGTGCACACATATCGGTCGATACCTCCAACATCCGTTCCCGTAGACGCTGCATCTCGGGCATCCTCCACGCAATCGAACGCACGGGGTGTTCGAATACGGCATCGTATCCGCGATCGAGTTGGGCATGTATCTCGCATATGCAGTACCTATGTGCGCACGTGCCTCCCGTACCATACGCATATGTTCCGTCATACTGTGCAGTCGTGCATTCACCGTCGCAAAACCGCCACACCAGGTACAGGGGGGGCATGCCACCAGCACACGGGGTCGAAACCGTTTCAGCTCGTTGGTGATCTTATGTTGAACCGTCCGGTCGGAAAGATCGTAACCCGTCAGTAAGTCGTAACTACGTCCCGTTCCACGGTTGGTCTCTTCGGCCCGCTTCAGTACCCGAGGTGGGGAAAACAGTTCCGAAACCCGCCATTGTACTTTCTCATGGGAAATACCTAGGGCCTCCCGAAGATGTTCTTGCAACTGGCGTCGGATTTTGCGTTTCAGCACCGAGGTCCCGGGCTCCTCCAAGTTCTCCGTGGCCCCGGGGATCACCTGACTCATCTCCACGTCCATATTGGTCTCCTTCGGAATTTCCTCCTCCGTGTCCTCCGTGGCCTTCTCCTTCTCCTCCTCCACCGAGCCCTTCAAGCTCTCAGGCTCCGTCGTGAGCTCCCTCGGCAATAGCGGCTCGTTGCTGGCCGCCACCGTGCAGACGTCCGCGATGTCTGCGACCACTGGCATGATATAGTTTCCGGACTCGGTCTCCTCGAGGTCCACCGTGGTCCCCAGTGCGTCGAACGAGATCCGATTCGTCGTGAAATCCATACGGCCCTGGAGGGCCTTCAACAGTGGCTTGCTCAGCAGGAGCGGGACGTCCCCCCGTACCACCGCGGCCGTGATGTAGCCCTGCACCTGGCCGATCTCGACAGGGATCTTGACCGCCAGATTCGACTCCTCTCGACCACTGTTTCCGAACCTGAACACGTTCATCTCCTCGTAGAACTCCAAGCGCTGGCCTCTGGACTCCACCAGAGACTTCAGCTTCGCCAGCGGGTTCTCCCCGATGAGTGTCCTGCCACAGCCAGGATCCACCACACCTTTGCCCGTCGGGCATGCGAAGAGGATCTCCATCGGGTTACCCTCGCCCGGCTCCGCCACGGCACGACGAGCCCGCATCTGCTGCAGCACGGTGGCCAGGCTGGCATCATGCGATCCGGCTCCTTCCAGGACCACGAACGCTGCCCCCGCCGCCGCCGAAGGCTTGCCGCGCTTGCCGAAACCCTTGCCCTTCTTCTTCGGGCACTCTCGGGACCAGTGGCCGATCTGCTTACAGGCGTGGCACCGGGTCTTCCGCTTGGCCTCTTCGAGCTCGCGGTGGAAGGTGATTTGCAGCTTGTCTGCTTTCTGGAAATTCCGCGTCTTGCGGGCATCGTTGATCTCTTGACGTTTCTCCTTCCACGTTGCCGCCAGCACTTCGACCAACTCAGCCTCCTCGAAGACCTCATCGGGCACTGCCGCCTCCAAAGCACCCTCGGCCAGGAGGGCATCGACGTCCGCGAAGTCATCCTCCTGGACCGCCTCCGTCTCATACTGCCACGGCAGCAGAGAGGGAGGAAAACCGTCTTCATCATCCTCTGCTTGGTCAGCCAGGAACGCGCCCGCCTCGGCACGTCGCTGCTTCGGCACCTTGTAAGTGGGAAACACCGCTCGAATCGCCACTTCCATGGCGTCCGCCGTGTACTTCACCGCCTTCGCCTTCACGATGGCCCGCTGGTCCGGTGTAAACCCGCACCGATGCAACAAGATCCAGGCCTGGGCCTCCGTCGGAAACTGCACGTTGGCTTTGACTCCACACTTCTGAAACACCTCCTTCGCCCGGCCCAGCCAGGCTGCGATGGGTTCCCCTTCCCGTCCCTGGAGCGCGAACACCGCCTCCAGGTGCTCGCCGAGGATATCTTCCTGTTCTTTCGCAGGCCAGCGCTTCAGCAAGAGGTCTAGTAGGATCTGTTCACCGTCCTCTACCTCATAGTCTTCAAACTCAGGATGGTCCACAATCTCCAGCGCTGATCCCTGCAGCAGTGTGTAGACGAAAAGCCCCTTCTGCGTGGACTCGAGCTTTCGGCATGCCATCGCCGAACGAACCCACTTGATCCACTTGCGCAGCTCCTGATTGCTGCTCTGACCGCCATCTCCGTTGAAGTACCGAAGCCCCTTCGGTTCCGTGGACTCTGTCGTCATGTTATGGTCTGTCGTCTGCCGGCGCCTCCCGGCAGGAGCTGGGCGTCCCTCCTAGGACGCTGGAGCAATTTGCTCCGCTACCAATGGCAAAACCACTGCTTCCCACTGGCTGACCACATGATATGCAGTGACGTAAACATGCAAGGTTTTGTCTAGTGCCCCGCACTGCGAACAATCCCTGATCCAAACGGCAGCGGAGGTAGAGAGCACATGAACAAGGCAACACACTTTCGGCAGTACATTGGTCTGTGGCTCACTCTGACAAAAACATCCTCCTCCTCCTCCTCTTCCTCCTCCTCCTCCTCCTCCTCCTCCTCCTCCTCCTCCTCCTCCTCCTCCTCCTCCTCCTCCTCCCCCTCCTCCGCCTTCCCCCTTTATGGCCTCCTCCTCCTCCTCCTCCTCCCCCTCCTCCTTCTCCTCCTCCTCCTCCCTTTCTCCTCCTCCTCCTCCTCCTCCCCCCTCTTCCCTCAGCCTCCTCCGCCTCCTCCTCTTCCTCCCTGTCCTCCTCCTCATCCTCCTCTTTCTCCGCCTTTGCCTTGTCAAAGGAGCGCGTCGATCTTTGCAGGTGAAGTCTCGGTCGTCCATGCTGGAACTGCGGGCTCAGTACCATGATTTTTTCTGTTCGCTAGATGGGGTTCCATCCAAGCGTTTTGGACTAAGTCGCATCCCGCCCACGCACAACGCCAAAACCTGGGCTTGAGTTGTGTGGAGGTGTATTTACATCAGGCTGCTGATTTCTCCGCTGGTGCAGCTGCTGATCGTGCCCAGATTTCTGAGGAGCGTGTGGAGTGTACTCGTCGGACCGATAAACTGGCCTCTGATGTGTTGTCGCGTTTGTTAGCGGTCCAGCGGGAGATCCTCTTTTCGAGTGAAAGGGCACGCGCTGAGCGTTTTCCCGAGCGACAGAGAGGTCAGCAGACTAGCGCAGTTGGGTGAGTGTGCATATTGCGAGGCAGTGGGCATGAGCCCGAGCTTCGGAGTGCTGACATTAAATGCGTCAGGTGGTTCAGAAGCTTCCCGTTGCGAGGGAAGTTGGCGGATTCCTGGCCTGATCCGTGTAAGCCTCGTTGTGGAGTGCGGCAGCGAATTAAGAGTTTGTCCCCGGGAGCCCTTGCTAGCGGGATGGAAGACCCAACCTCCGATGACCTCGCGGGGGTTCCCGACTGTGGGGCGTCTTTTGGATCATCCGATGGCAGAGCCTTGTGATATGTCCCAGTAGTAGTTGCTGTGTTGAGAGGAGTTCGGTGTTGCGAGGTTTGTGGGGTGTTTTGCATGGTTAATCCCCCTCATACCCTTGCCAGGCATTGTGGTAAGCCAACTTATTCAGGTCGCGGGGTGGTGTCGCGGCTTTCCCGACGACCGCCCCCGAATTCGGGCACTTGTTTCCTTGATCTGCGAATCTGGTGTAAAGCGGCCCCCCCAAAGGAGGATGTTGCTTCAGGCAGACTTAGAATTATAATTCCTCCTCCTCCTCCTCCTCCTCCTCCCTCCTCCTCCTCCTCCTCCTCCTCCTCCTCCTCCTCCTCCTCCTCCTCCCCTCCTCCTCCTCCTCCTTCCCTCCTCCTCCTCCTCCTCCTCCTCCTCCTCCTCCTCTTCCTCTTCTTCCTCCTCCTCATTCTCCTCTTCCTCCTCCTCCTCCTCCCCCCTCCGCCTCTCCCTTGTCCAAGGAGTGCGTCGACCTTTGCAGGCGAAGTTCGTCCATGCTGGATGTGTGGGTTTGGTACCATGAGTTGATGTTCGCTAGAGGGGGTTATATCCAAACGTTTTGGATTAAGTCGCTTCCTACCCAAGCCCAACGCCAAAAACTGTGTTTGAGTAGTGTGGAGGTGTATACCAGGCTGCTGGTTTTTCTGCTGATGCAGCTGTTGATCGTGCCCAGATTCCCGGGGAGTGCGTGGATCGCACCCGTCGGGCCGATAAACTGACTTTTCATATTTTGTCACGTTTATTAGCGGTCCAACGGGATATCCTCTTTTCGGGGGAAAGGGAACGCGCTGAGCGTATTCCCAAGCGACAGAGAGGTCAGCAGACTAGCGCAGTTGGGCGAGTGTGCAGGTTGCGAGGCGGTGGGCATGAGCCCGAGCTTCGGAGTGCTAGCATTAAATGCGTCAGGTGGTTCAGAAGCTTCCCGTTGCGAGGGAAGCTGGAGGATTCCTGGCCTGATCCGTGTAAGCCTCGTTGTGAAGTGCAGCAACGAGTTAAGAGTTTGCCCCCGAGAGCCCTTGCTAGCGGGATGGAAGACCCAACCCCCGATGACCTCGCGGGGGTTCCCAACTGGGGCGCCGTTGGATCATCCGATGGCCGAGCTCTGTGATCCTTCCCATCAGCTTGCTGTGTTGAGAGAAGTTTGTTTTGTGAGGTATGTGGAGGATGTTGCATTGTTAATCCCCCTTCGTACCCTTGCCAGGCCTTGTGGTAAGCCAACTTCTTCAGGTCGCGAGGCGCTGTCACGGCTTTCCCGAGGGCTGCCCCCCGAAATCGGGTATTTGTTTTCTTGATCTGTGAGTTTGGTTTTAAGCGGCCTCCCCGGAGGAGGATGACGCTTCAGGCAGGAGTCGAATTACAATGGCTCCTCCTCCTCCTCCTCCTCCTCCTCCTCCTCCTCCTCCTCCTCCTCCTCCTCCTCCTCCTCCCCCCCTGCTCCTCCTCTTCCTCCTCCTCCTCCTCCTCTTCCTCCTCTTCCTCCTCCTCCTCCTCTTCCTCCTCTTCCTCCTCCTCCTCCTCCTCCTCCTCCTCCTCCTCCTCCTCCTCCCCCTCCTCCTCCTTCCTCCTCCTCCTCCTCCTCCTCCTCCTCCTCCTCCTCCTCCCCCTCTCCTCCTCCTCGTCTTCCTCCTCCTCTTTCTCGTCCTCCTCCCCCTCCTCCTCCTCCTCCTCCTCCTCCTCCTCCTCCTCCTCTCCTCCCCCCTCTTCTCCTCCTCCTCCTCCTCCTCCTCCCTCCTCTCCTCCTCCTTGTTTCTCTCTCTCTCTCTCTCTCTTTCTCTCCTCATCCCCGTCCTCCTCCTCCTGCTGCTCCTCCTCCTCCTCCTCCTCCTCCTCCTCCTCCTCCTCCTCCTCCTCCTCCTCCTCCTCCTCCTCCTCCTCCTCCCCCTCCTCCTCCTCCTCCTCCTCCTCGTCTTTCTCCTCCTCCTCCTCTTCCCCCTCCTCCTCCTCCTCCTCCTCCTCCTCCTCCTCCTCCTCCTCCTCCTCCTCCTCCTCCCTTCCTTCTCCTCCGCCTCCCCCTCCTCCTCATTCTCCTCCTCCTCCTCGTCCTCCTTCCTCGTCCTCCTCCGTCCTCCTCCTCTCCTCCTCCTCCTCCTCCTCCTCTTCCTCCTCCTCCTCCTCCTTCCGTCCTCCCCCTCCTCCTCCTCCTCCTCCTCCTCCTTCCGTCCTCCTCCTCCTCCGCCTCTTCCTCCTCCTCCTCCTCCTCCTCCTGTTCCTCGTCTTCCTCCCCCTCCAATCGGGTTCTGGCCCAGGCGTGCTCGCTGGCTCCGCCGCGCGCGCCCCCCGCCGTCCGACGCAGGCCGCGCGCCCGCGCCGACCTGCCCGCTCGTCGCCCTTCGCGCTGAGTTGAGGCTGAGGAAGGGCAGCGACGGCCCCTCCCTCCGGCGCTTGGGCTGCTGCTGCACGCGGGGCGCTGCTGGCGGCGCATGGCGCCAGCGGCCTCGCCTCGCGGCGAGCCGCTCCAGAAGTGGAGTGCGGTTGCTGCAGGCCGCGGAGGGGCTGCTCCGAGCCGCCATCGCCGAGCTCGGCGACGCGGCGACGCCGACGCGCGCGCAGGCCCCTGCCAGTGCCGCTGCGCCCCCTCGGAGGCGAAAGCGGCGGCGCGGGCGGCGCGCGCGGCGCGGCGCAGCTGGCGGGCCGCCCTGTGGTGACGGCGCGAGCGCGGAGCAGAAGGAACAGCAGGAGGAGCGGGCCGCTCTCGCGGCGAAGCTTGCGCCGAGGGGCGGTTGGGCCCGCCGACGGGCGAAGGCGGCTTGAGCACCGCCAGGCGCGGCGACCGCTGGCGACGGCGCGAGGGCGGAACAGCTCGAGGACGACTCCTGGGCTGACGACCTCACGCTCGGCCCTGGCAGGGATGCGGCGGCCTGCCCGGAGGAGATGGATGGTGCCATGAAGCTCGATCGTGAGCGTGCTCCTGCTGCTGGACCCGATGCTGCGGGAGCCTCGCGCGGTGCCGCGGGCAGCGGCCTTGGTCTCGAGCAGTACGGCCTCGGCGGCACGGCGGCATGGGTAAGCCCGCCGTGAGTGTCTGGCACGACGCGCTCGTGCTGGACTTCGGACGGGATGCTCGTCGCCTTCGGTTTCAGCGTCGCCGTGCACTTCAACATCTGAGGTGTTGCGCGGATGGCCTGTGCCGTCCGCCGGAACCATGAAGGCAGGTCCGCCGCATCGGCGTTGTTTCTTTTTTTTGCTCTCTCTCTCTCTCTCTCTCTCTCTCTCTCTCTCTCTATATATATATATATATATATGTATTTCTCTCCTCATCCCGTCCTCCTCCTCTCCTACTCCACCTCCTCCTCCTCCTCCTTCTCCTGCTCCTCCTCCTCCTCCTCCTTCCCTCCCCCTTCTCCCCCTCCCCCTCCCCCTCCCCTTCCCCCTCCCCCTTCCGATCAGATGGGGTCGGAGGATCTCATCGCCGATGCATCGGCGGCGCGGTTCGATGTGGCGCCCGCCGCGCCCCGCGCTCGAGCGAGCGTTCGACCAGGAGTAAAAGGTACTCATATTGCTGCCTTGCCTCGTTTTCCCCCTTTGTGGGGCCTCTTGGGCGGCCCATTTCGCCACCACTTGACTCGCTTCGACATCCTTGTCAGAACGCGCCCAGGTGAGGTCGGTATCGGTACCTTTTGGCATCCCCACAGATGGGGTCGGAGCAGTAGGGGTCGGAGGATCGCGCCGCATCGCCGATGCGGCGCGATGTGGAGCCCGATTTTCTCCACGCCTACGTCGTCGAATGCATTGCCGACGTCGCCAGTGCGTCGCCGATGAATGGCCGATGCATGGCTGATGCATCAGCGATGCATCGGCGATGCGGATCGAGCCACCGGC